AAAAATAATTTAGGAATTTCTCAGTGATACACATATACATGAATTATTCCTAATGTTTCTGTTGCTCAAGAAATCCTGTTCTTGGAGGGTGGGGAGAAATGCTGAGAGTGATAATGGCCAAAATATATTTTCACATTATGTGCACGTATGAATATATAACAACAAATCCCATCCTTAGGTACAATTAGAATGCATCAATAAAAAATGTAAAAAGCAGGGGAAAAACATTAAAAATGCTATTCTTAACTGATGAGAAGTGCCTAGTCCAGGAATTTGCACAAAAGTTGCCTAGAATCCTATGTGAGACTTCATGACTTAGATCAATGCATGAAAGAATGACACTAAGGTAATAAAAGTGGTGATTTCTAGACTTTTATATCACATGCTTCCACTCAACATCCTTTTTGACACAATATTGTCCTATGGAGGTACAAGGAGCAATCTGCTAACTAAGCTCCCTGTGTCATGGGACCAGCATGGATCTCAGTCCCATTATAGCCTCCCATCTATTATTCTGAAAATCTAGGTAGTTCTGGAACTAGCTTATCAGATAAAATAAAATGCTTTCACAAAGCCTTTTGGGGAAATCACAAAGCTGATCACTATTTTTGACAAGATCATCTAATTTTCAGATTTATATAACAGCACATATTTCTAATGAGTTTATTAAACATGTATGCTAGAGTACACACATTTCTGGGGGCAAGAGATTTTTATTTTCCCTTTCAAGTGAAAACAACTGCTAGTTCTCAGAAGCTTGAACATATGTCAGCTACTTGTTCAAAAATCCCAAGCAAAAATTAACCTTTATTTATCCTAAATACCACTGAGAGCAAAAGAACTTTCAATAATGGTTTCTTTACAATAAACCTAACAACTCCTACATTACCATTACAATTGAGATCCCTGGGGCATAAAAGCACCCAGCATCATTCTTTTTTTTATTAATATTTATTTTTTAATTTTCGGGAGACACAACATCTTTGTTTGTATGTGGTACTGAGGATCGAACCCGGGCCGCACGCATGCCAGGCGAGCGCGCTACCGTTTGAGCCACATCCCCAGCCCCCCCCAGCATCATTCTTAGCACATGGTTGGTTTTTCAGTTATGTGGTGTTACTAATAGGTATTATGACACCAAAAATAAGCATAACTTGCTGGCTTTAAAACACCAACCATAGTGAAGTATGACAGGTTTCTAGTTGATGTCTGGCTATGCTTCCACACAGGTGGTCTGTATTTATCTACTGTAGACCCATGATTACTCACATCCCATTCAATTTGTGTTTAAGAATTAGACTGGTATTTACTGTCAAAGCTTAGATTCTTTTGCCCAAACTCATCACATTGTTTCATTTTCTATAGAAACAGAATAGCTCTAACACTGAAATGGATGGAAGTGTGAGGGTGTTAGAATATAAAAAGTTTTCAATTGCAATTTTAAAACCTTCAATATTCAATAATAGATTAGCACAATTATTAAGAGCAGTATAACAGAATATTATATAGCAAGTACAAATGAGAACTATACACATGCTAAAAACAGAAAATATGTTTGGTGAGAAAACACACAGTGTGCCAGGAAGTTGTATGGTACATTTATATTTTAAATACTCTATACTAAAATTGCTTTAAAATGAGCAGAAACAAAAGAGAAATTTAGAAAAATGATTGTATCACACACAACTATTGTATGGACTTTGAAAATAGATACCTAATGATTGTTTTTAAGTCAAGGTAAGCACAATTTAAACTCATCTCCTTTTCTAAAATTTGCAGTAGTTTGCAAACTGACACACATAAATACTCACATACATGGGGTAGCTAAACTAAGTTTAAGAAACAGATTAACTGGTTGCCTTGAGGGAACTGAACTCAGAGGATATATTTTTCTCACAGAATACATTTCTATACCTTTGTGTTTTGCCTCGTGTGTACTACCAGTTTCCTTTTTGGAATATTTCTTTTTAAACTTGGAAGGTAACACATGGTTCTTGAACAACACAATTCACCTGCTGCCACTTCTCAAACTATGCTCCCT